AATTTTTGAGAAAAAGCTTTTTGGAAAAAATCTGCCAGGCTGACTAATGGGCTGTATAGTTTATATAAAGATTCATTCATTGGTGGTTTCATAAGAATAGTTTTCAGAAATAAGGTGATCAGACCTCTGTTATGTGGCAAGCTGGCCATGTACTTTTTGGAACAAAGAAAACTTTTTCTATTTTTGCTTTTTAAAAGCCATATTCCTTCACAGTAATTATTGCTGTCCAGAGATTCCTTTTCTTTATTATCTGTGAATTGACATGATTTCTTAGGAAAGTTTAGTAGATTTCCACTGCCTTCTCCATGGTTTTGAATTCAGTCATCCTCTTCCTAGATTGACCACCATCTAAGGCTAGAGAGCCCATACCTGGTTATTTAACACAGATGATGGTTTGAAAACAGACACATTCCTTTCTCATGGACAATAGTGTAAAGTGAACACAACAAACTAGACTGGAATTTGAATTTGGTTTGCCAACTCCATTTTTCACACTGATAGCTGTTATGTTACTAGCACTTCCTTAAGGAGACCCCAAAAGAATGTAAATTAATGGTCAAATTGTACTAAAAAGATACTTCTATATTACAAACTGGAAGATGTCATGACGTATCCCAAAGAATTAGAGGATTTAATGTTTTCAGAAATTTTGGACGTTATAAAAAAGAAAGAAAGAAAGCTGGTTATCATGGCGAGGACAAAGTTTCTCATGAGCAAACAAGAGCCAAATGAAATGATAAATTAAATGGTATAACTTTTCCTATGCAAGAAGATACTGGGAGTGATGTCACCCTAATCCCAATAAATCTTTTGGAATGAATGAGTAAACCTAAATTAAAGAAAAGTTATCTGAAACTAAGACAGTTCAATGGCTCTTTTATCAAAATGTTAGGTTGTTTCAAAGGAACTTTTGAAACTAACAACTGCTTCGAAATTACTCTCATTATGGTAGTGAAATGTGAAAATAAAACATGGACTCATGGGAATAAATGTCTTAATATTAATCAAGAGTGTGAACTTGGAAAGAACTGACACAGGAATGTTAAAAGGGTACAAAGCAAGCATTCAATTAAAAGGAAAGTAGTCCCTCTCTTACTTTTGATTTTGCAGACTGCCCATTTACATTTTATCTTTAGTAGTCGCTAAACTAAAAACAATGGTGGGGAAAGGAATTTTGGAGCATGTTCACCCTGGTGGCAGTAATTGGGCCTCACCCATTGCTGTTTTATGAAAACAAGATGGAGATTTAAGAATATGTGGGAATTATAATGTAGGTGTAAATCACAAAATATGCTCTGACTCATTCCCTAAACCTAACATCAAAAATGCTATTCACATATTGTCGGGAATTAAATACTTTGACAAAAATTGACCTCAGATCTGCTTATAATCGGATACAAATTAATAGAAAGAAAAAAAAATCAAAAGAAGTTACTACAATTAACTCTCAGATATGATGGAAAAAACAGCAACTGAAAATGTGTTAACTGGTGATGTTAAGAGTATGATCATTTATTAAGATGATATATGCACTGGTGTTTCCAGTAAAGAAGAGTTAAAACAAAGACCAAGACTCCTACTGAGTTGTAGAACTATTCCACATGTAGGTAGAGTGCAAAGTTCTTCCTCATTGATGGGAAGACAAATTAGATCTCCTATAATAATGTCCTATTCAACAAACAAAAAATGTGGTACCAGAAAGACAGAGAATCAAGCCCAGAAAAAGCAAACTTTATTGTACAAAATAGGACATAATAAACTACAGCTATAATAACAATAAATGGACAGAATTTACTGGCTCAGTTATGTGCCATGTGTGATACACACTTAGGCGATCATGTATCTTTCACTACATGATTGACAAGGCAGATTTTTTTTCCTACAGTAGATTGCCATTTCTTTCTGCAGTAGACCAGTTGCCATCCAAGGCTACAGAACTCGATCTGTCCTGCTATTTACCCATAGCTGGGGGGTGAAGAAGAGGATTCATACCTTTCCCAAGGGTATTAGCACATAAGTGAATGTAATCAACTGGAATTTGAACTTGGCTCTCTGATTCATTAGTCTGAGCTGCTATCCATTACTCCACCATGCCTCCTTCCATTGATCAAATAAGACTTTGAATTGATGACAAAGTCAAGATGGAAGAAGTAAAAAAAATGAGAAGGGTAGAAAAGAAACTATGGGGCATGGTACGCACAATTCCAAAACGGAGTCGGAAGATCAGAACAAAGAAGAGTTCAAACCTAGATCCCCAATAAAAAGAACCAAGTACACACCGCAAAAGAGATAGATAGATAGATAGATAGATAGATAGATAGATAGATAGATAGATAGAAGTAAAAGATCAATCTTCATTTCCAGTGTTAAACAAATGATAAAAAGAAAAAAGAAAAAAGAAATCACTTATAAATAATTGAGCTGATACTTTTCATCAGATTTTTAACTGTTGAACTAAAAACTAAATGTGGTGCATTTTGTGCTATATTATTATGGAGACATTTTCATCAAAACAGTCTACAAATAGTATAGTGAATCATGTGGAAAAAAAATGTATGTCAATTTTACCTTGCTTTTTTTCTCTTTTTTTTCCAAAATCTTCATTAATTTCTTTTTCATTTTCTTCGTGAGGATTTTCTTATTGCTTTCATTTATAACAATTTTCTTAGTTTTTCTTTTCTTAGATGGTAATACCAAGGTGTTACAGTCATCGTATACTTTATAGCCATCCTCTTTTGCAATGTCTAACTTGATCTGGAAAAACAAAATATTTTAGGACATATAGAGAAAAGCATTTGTAATTTATTTCCTTACTCTCATTTCAGTTAAATTGTGAATGCAATTTCTGTTTTGCATCTTTTAATTTATTCAAAATTTTACTTTCACTTCAAATAAACTTTGGAATTTCTATTAAAGCTTAAACACCTAAACTAAAAATATATTTTACAATGAAAGATTATGGTGAAGTGAATACAAAAAGATTCTTCTTAAATAAATTCAAATAAAAAAGCATTTAATAAGAACTCTGCACATTGCAAAAGTCTCCTTCACATTCTTTTGGAAATTAGAAGCAAAAATAACTCTACAAATTATTACACATATATAAAAAAATAAAAATAAAAAATTATTTACATTACAACTTTCTCAAGTTTGACAAGCTTTCTGGAACCATTAAAAAAAATAATTTGTAGATGAAGCACTTGTTTCTTGTATTACTCTTGCTTGTCTTCTTAATTTTACTTATTTTATTTTATTACTAATTTCTTTAAATGACCTAATAATAGTAATTATTATTAAGTCGGGAAAATAGAAATGGCATAAAAAATTTACATTCATCAAGTATTTTTTTTTTGTATTTCTAGTGATTTTTGTTTTTCCTTTTGATAACTTTTTAAAATTAAATAAAAAGGCCATTTTCTTCAATTTAACAATTGATGAATTGAACATCAACTATTTTAAATAAATATCACTGCAGGTATCAATTTTACATTAATTTTCTTGCATTATTTGTTTTCTTTAATTTTGATTTTTGATGTTTAAGTGTAAGCACACTAAATAGGTTGCTATAAAGAGGCGCGATCATGGTTTTTGTAACTTTGTTCCACACGTGTCTACGGGTTAAATTAAAACAAAAGTTCTTCAGTTCTGATGTCTTTATGATCTCAGATGAAGCAATTTTATTTTTTATTCTGAAAATATTTAATATGCAGTCAAGAGAAACTTTTTTTTTTTTTTAAAATTTGAATAGAAGTTCGAAATAGATTCAACCGACTGAATATTTAATTTTAAACTAAAGCCAACTCCAACATTCAAACAGACTATCCGTAAATCGTATGTAGGGAATGTATTTAAATTTACTTGTTAAATAATAAAATTAATAAATGTTATTGTTAATTTGTATCTCTGAAAGATAAAAAATTAAAACATCTCAAAGTTGGAATCAACAAAGAATCAGTAAAGGCGATATTTTCCACAGTTGTGGCCTAAGTACAGGTCTAATATTTTGCCTTTTCTTTGTTCACTGACTTCAAATTTATTAAAAATATAAAAATAGAGGAAGTCCTGGACTAGTTTTTACTTATGATTTCAAGAGTTTAGCAATCATCAAAGTGTTTTTTGTTTTTGTTTTTTAGTTTGGAAAAAATCCTAGTTCACCAGCTGTAGGTGTCTCTGCCTCTTAAGCTAGCGTTAGTTTCATTTTTAAGTAAATACAATAATTATCAAAATCATTCATTATTCTTCGTTGATTTCATGCCTTTTTATAGTTTATTAACAAATAATATATTTCAAAAGTAAAACACATCAACTTTTTTAGCACTACTTTGAGTTTAGCTATGTAGCACCATCTTAAAATAGGGTTCTTAAAGAAATTCAAGTTAAAAAAACAAACCTTTTTCTCTTCTGATCTATTAATGACTGTCTCAACTTGTTGACGTCCTTTCTTATTAAAACGTTTTCTTAATTTCCCCATAATTACAAAATTAATTCTCACATAAACTTTGGATTTAGAAACACACGTGGTCAAGGGAAACTATGTCTAAACGGTGATTATTTATTTATGTATACTGTAAGAAAAAAATGTCACGCAATAGCGGTAAAAACAGTACAATACAAAAAATAAATTTTAACCTACTAAATTGTCGACTATGTATGTTTCTTATTCTATATCCAAGGAGAAGAAATAAATATATTTGATACACGTTTACAATGTTTCAAAATAAATAAATAATAAATAAAATACAAAAAAAAAATGATAGCCACTTTTTATAATATATTAAAACCTTTTCTTTTCACAGATAATTAAAAACAAACTGAGTTCAAGATTTATTTTAAAATAAAATAATGAATCTAGATAAATATAAATTCTGAATTAAATTTATTTATAGATTTTTTTTATTAGATACGTTTAGACAAAAATATGAAACGGAACACATTTCACTTAACACCGATTTGTATCCCATAATTTTATTATTATTATTATTAATGGTGGTGGTGGCATCATGGCGTCGACTGCTGAGACAGATGATGATATCATTGATGATGAACACTTTCATGATTCAACCTTGATATTTCCTCCTGAAGTACAAGAAGCTATAGATCAGGTAACAATATTATATTTTGGTCTAAATAATCAAAGTTTTAAGATGAACTGATGCGTGATTTTTACCTATTTTAAAGCAGTGTTGTTTGATACATTATCCAACTGACAACCAACTAGTTGATTTGTAAATTCAAGCTGTCGATGTTTTTATTCGCCTGCTTGATTTTTTTATGACACGTATGTTATTACGCAAAAAATGATGGCTTCACTTTATTTTATATATAGGGATAAAAATAGTATATTTCCCTTTCATTTTTTTAATATTTGGATTGACTCTTTGTCTTTTTTTTTTTTTTTTTTTTTTAGTCAGTCTTAAAAACAGAAAAATTTAAGAAGGCGTGCAATTGCTGGAATATGACAAGCTAAAAACTAAAAGTGTTCTAATTTTTGAAGTTATACTGTTTTTCTTTGTTTCGTTTTTTCGTTAAAAATATGAAGTAGTAAATTGTCAGATAAAACTTACTAAAAGGAAAATGAATACATATTTTAAAAACTAATTGTGATTGTTTTTATCAAAATGTCTCATTCATTCTAATGATCATGGTGTTTTTGTGACGTGGTTTTTCTATTTTTATTTTATTTATTTTGTAAATAATCTACTTCCGAAGTGTCGAGTCATTAAAAAATACTACAAAACAACTCTAATTCAATTAATAATGGTATTTTTCTGAAAAACGAGGATCTTGTGTGACATATTTTAATTAAGATTTAATCTTTTAATCCCATAAATGAGAAAAAAGTAGGACCTTTTTGTAGAGGTCGATCCGGAACCTCCACAAACAACAATTAAATGAGAAATTAGCCGAAGTCTCGTCTTTATTTGATCAACGGAAGTGAATCAAAATTGACCGAAGAAGAAAATTCTAAAGAAGGCAAGAGTTTTTATTTTACTTTTAATTCTATTTTATTTTATTTTTTTACCAATGAGAGTGAGTCCCACGTCTTACAGGGCCCGGGAGCTATTTTGCCTTAAAATAAAGTCTGCAAGTTGAGGTTTCTAGGGCACATAATGAGGGTAGAGGGCTCGGAAAATCTGATATTCAAAGGACAGATTGGAGACGAGAGAGACCGAGGAAAACAATGAATAACATACTTAGTTGGCTTGAGTAAATGGATTTAGGGTTTAGGAGAAATAACAAAGACAAAATTAATTAAGAGTTACAAAGGACAGGAACTTGTGTACATAGCCATGATCATCTACATCCTGAGTAGACAATGGTTTATGGAAGAAAACTGAGAAACCAAAGGTTTTTGCACACCTCAAGCAACATTTCAAAACTATTTGCATCTTCATTTATAACCTACCTGCCTGAGGCAGATCATAGCACTCTACTCCTTGATCTGCCAATAGTCATAAGGGGGAAAAAATGAACTCAGCACAGATTCCTTCTGACTACCAAACTAAACCTTACCTTTCAAGTTGTGCCAGCACCACAAGCGTAAGTGAAGAAAATGCTTAAAAATCATTTAACATGAACTTTCATTGATGTAAGCTATCTTATAAAAACTTTCTCTTCTAAGTCCTAATCATTAGAATGTAGAAGTGTATGCATTTATCAATCTTCATAAAACATTTCATTTATTTAAAACAACATTTTCCAATTCATGTATTCAATTTATAAACATTAAAATATTCATTATATATGTCTACTCTTTTTCTTCATATATTTCAGTTGATACTCTGTTTACATTTGCTATTACAAGAGGTAAGGGAGTGACATAAATAGAGATTAAAGTTTCTTTCATAATTTAGTGATTATTATTACTGCACATCACACAAATGTTTGTGGAAAGAAATTACATTGGCATCAGATCTTTTAAGCATCAATCTTTCTGCAACAATCTCTTATTTATCAGAAGTAAAATTAGCAATTAAGAAAGTTTGAAATCAAACAATTATCATCATCAGTCTTATGACTTGGTGTGGTTGTAGGATTGCTTAACACCTAATTCTTTACACATATTTGTGTTGTAAGCTATAGAAGTATTCATTTATGTGTTGAATATATATTGGGAAAGTAGACTTTAGGTCAAACCACAGCCAATGACCTCCAACTTAAAGTGACAACTCTTGCAATGAACACTTGGCTGTTGATTCTGTTAGGGGAATACTCTACTCTGGCTATTGATTTTAGTCTAGGAAGTTTTCCATCTGCCAATGTTGTGTCATCACCACAATGGCTGCTAACCCTTTGACAGAAAAAGCCTATCTGACTCTTTTCATCAGAAAAGCCTATGAAACAATAGTAGAATATTTTAACATTTTATAAAATTATGTAAATGAAATTATACAAATTCTTGCTGTGGCACAATTGTTCAAAAACAGAAAAAAAACAAATTGTGAAAATAATGGCTTTATTTAAGTAAGTATTATGTACTGAATCATGGACCACAGCTGTTTGTGGTTTCCTATAGCCCCACTGAATCTAAATAAAGTCAATTCAGGTTTGCTATGGTAACAATTTTCTATCCCAAGTAAAAATCATCACAAAAATGGCAAAAGTCATTTTGTCACAGCTTATTTTCTCTAAAAAAAAATGGATTTTCATACTTTTATAGGGATAAAATATTGAAAAATGTCTGTTTTATCATCTAAACAAATATCAAAGAAACTTTTGATCTGAAGCCCATGAAACTAGGTATTTTCTGAAAGCAAAGGATATATTCTTTCATTTAAAAGTAAAATTTGCTGGTGTGAATGACTCAAAAAATTTTTTCAGAAGGTAAAATGTGAAAAAACAGTGAAAATTTTGCATTTTTTCTAGTTCTAAACAAAAATGTTCCCCATTAATGGGAAATTAACCATTTTGGGGGGAAAATCAGAAAGCCTTAATCATAATCAAAATATTTCAGACATAAAATTGAGAGTTTTGAAGGAAATCAATATTCCTATTTTTGGTCAAAATGCAACAAAGTCCATTGGTAATTTTCAATTATATGACTGCCAGGGGTTAAAAAAATTGACACCCAGCCACAGAAATCTTTAGTAAAAGGCGAAAGATTTATCTGCAATTCCTGACCACCAGAAACCAAAAAATTTTGTTTTGTTTTGTTTTTTCCCCAAAAAATAGCAGTGATAAGGAAAGTTGACTTTGACATGTCTGAGTCAAGGGTCAGCCAGCCAGTCAGCAATAAACATTTAGAACAAGTTGTCGTCAGCTTGTAATAAAACCCACCACTCCCAGATAAGAGTGAATAGTGAAAAAAAAAAAAAAAGGGTCAACATTGGTAGGGCTTGATATAAGGTTTGTTTTTTGTTTTTTCAAACCTATGTTTGAACAATGGCTTGATGTGTTTTGTTTTGTTTTTAACACCCCCATGACCCAGGTGATGACAACACTTAGCAGACAACATTGGTTTTTTTTTTGCTGCATGTCTTTTGTATTTCCCATTGCTGGGCCATTTAGCCATTCTTTTTATTTGATGATATTCACGCCAAATTAAGGAGTAAGGAATGAAGTTTGAATGATATTTTTTGAAGTGAAAATAAAAAGGTGATTTTTCTCAGAAAATTGGGCATAATTGAAAATGTGTTATGAGACCGAAGTGACATTTTTCCACAGCCAAATCAAAGATTAATTACCAATGAATAATTCCATGCAAACAAACAAAACCATCTGGATCCTATAATATCACCCGAAAAGAAATAAAGGTTACTGATTGATCAAAAACTTGTTATGTATAATTGTAGTTTCACAATCAGTTTCCATTATTTCATCTTGATGTTGTCATTTTGGACATCCAAGTCATCAAGGATTTCAAAATACAGTTTGATTTGTATCAGGTTTGAAATTAAAACATTCTATGAGGTGTTTAAAATGTTACTGACGAATGAAATTTTTTCAAATCAATCATTTTGCTTACGGCATTTGGATTTTTCCTATATGATAAAAAAACAAATTTTTTAAACAGCAACTTCATTGATATTTGGCTTGATTAAAAAATTATTCTGGTTAATATTGCAAAAAAAAAAAGAAAGAAAAATGAGAATATATTGAATTGTGTATGTGTGTTTTCAAGGACATAAATTGAAGAACTCTTTTAAAACAATCTTTTAAAAATTGATTTTAAAATGAAAAAATTTTTTTAATGATTATTAAATTTTTTTCATGAAATTTTAACTATTTAAGAGAAAAATCAATAATTATGTATATTGGGAATTAAACTTTATATAAATTTTTCATCAAAGTTACAAATGGAAAAAAACTTTTTCATGGGGCTCAAAGTTACAAAATAAAATCAAACCACATATGAAATCATAAACACTGAGGTTTAATTTTACTCTTGTTTGAGCTTTAATATATCATTTGATTTCAAACAATACATAATTTTGTTATAATGCTGTTTTTTATGTTAAATCTAAATCCAAAAAATGAAGATTGTAAAGCACAAATTTTAGAAAAAGTTCGGGAAAAAAATTATAAGTACATCAAAATGTTTTGTACTAATGTTAGATATCAATTCTATCCAAGTTGTTAAAAAAAGCATGACTTTTATTTTTACCTTCTCCCAGGTGTATATGATCCCTTTGATAAATTGCAATTTTTTTTAAAAGTTCTGTAAGTAGTAATTTACCATCAATTTCGTTAATTTTTAATTAAATGGACTACAAAAATAAAATAAAGGACTGAACAACTTTAGAAGGATTGATGAACTGCTACAAGAAAAACAAATTCAAAATCAGGTGAGACAATAATTTATGTATTTGTTAAACATCTCTTTATATTTTGAGAATTACTGAGGAAAAAGTATGATGAAAAACTTTGGGAAATACCCATTATTTGATATTTGAGTTTTTATTTATCAGTTACTTTAAAATAATAATGTAGAAAAAAATTGTATGTAAGTGTCTCTTTGTGTTTATTCTTATTTAGGAAATAGATGATGGGAATATATATATATAAAAGTAGTCAAAGCTGTGACCAATTTTGATTAAAATGGGAGGCAAAATCTTTGAGGAAGCCCAGAAGGCAATACAGGAACTCTTTTCCAAAATTAAAGATATCAAAGATAAGGCTGAAAAGTCAGAAGAGATGGTAAGTTTTGTTTTGTTTTTTTCCTTTTATAAATATGTTTCTGAGTGTTTAACAATTGTCTTTTTGTGGTTAAAAATGCAATTCAAATTTTATTATAAATATTATGGATTTTATTAATGAGCAATATATATATATATATATATATATATTTCCATCCAAACAGAATTTATAGACGACAAAAAAATTTCACTCCAACAAAGTAAACAATATATTATTATTTTTATAATAAAATTATAATAAAAAACATTGAAATTACTACACAATAGTTTTTCATGTTTCAATACTTTTATTGTATTTTTTCAGGCAATGGTAAGTAATTTGGTGATTAAAATGATTTTAAGAGAAATTTAAAACAAACTGTTACCTCTTTTCCAAAAGTTAAAGTCGGCGACATAAAGGTCCAAATTAAAATTAGACTTGTAGGGGTATGTCTTGATTAACCAATAAAAATGTCAGAATTACACTAAATAAAAAAAAATAAAAGCTGGGTGAGTTGTTTTTTTCATGTCATGATAAACCAGAACATAGACAGGCCATCATTGACAATTGTGGGAAAATATGTCAGAAACAAATTTTAACTTTATTGTAGAACAAAAATGACATGTTCAATTTTTTTTGAAAGGGTGTAAGTTGAGGTAGGTTAATTCAGACATAAAATTAATAGAAAAAAAAAATTTTTTAGATTAGGAAGCTTCTTAAAGGGCCTGTAGATACAATTAAAA